TTTGGCAGGTCTGGCTTTGTTGGCCGTGATTCCGCGTGTGAAGGGGCAACCTCTGGAAGATCGGTTTGAAACACGGTCGGAGTTGCTGGTGTTTGCTGGTTTGGGTTCTCAGGGTTTTGGTAACTTTAGTCTGTCTCCTTTGGAGTTGGCGGTGGCTTCGAATGGTGAACATGCTTGGGCTGTTGAGGATGGGGCTGGATTTCATGGGGAGGTAGCTAGTGGGTCTGGGATTGAACCGGAGAGTGGTGCTTCGGCTGAGTCTGCAGGTCTACGCGAGTCCGCGTGGGATGTACCTACGTTGCAGCCTGGAGGTGTTCAGAGAAATCCATCGCCTACCCTCGACAAGGCAGATCTTCCTTTGCCAAGCTGTGACAACCCCGGGTCCGAAGGAGATGGCAACGGCCAGGAGGGCTTAAGTTTGGTGAGGATAATTCAGGGTCTTCGCCTCAGGCCAGAGATTCGTCAAGGCTCAACGTAAACTGGAACAGGCGGAGCAGGATACGGGGCTTACGTTTATTCAAAGGGCTAGGTTAAGGCGTCAAGTTGAAGCCAGGGGTGTTGTTGAACCACGTGTTTTCAACAAAGATTTGGCCCTGCTCCTGCCTGGTTTACGTGTGTTAGTGCTGATGAACCACCGGCTTTGGGGCAAGGGAGGTTTAGGTCTCAAGAGACGGCTAATCATTGTGGTGCTGAAGACTTGGCAGCCTGCTTGGGCCAACATTGTGGTCTGCTGCTAGCCTTCGTAGGTGTACAAGTAGGAGATTCGGAAGACTCGGCTCTGCTTCTCGAAGTTTGCAGGGCTGCGAGGCCTTGAGACTTATGAGGCGGAATCCGCGTTTTCAGAGTGGTCCTTGTTGAGGGTCCGTTGGAGTTCCGTGTTCATGCACCGCGTGGGAGCTTCGTGGCAAATCGAGAAGTGCATGGAGGTAGTGCCAGCAATCGGATTCAAGCGTGCAGATCGGGGGGAGTGCTAGCAGTCATTTCCACTCGGAGTCAAGTGTGCAGATCGGGGGGAGTGCCAGCAGCCATCAGGCACCTGTTAGCGCAGGCCCCGCCCAGTCCCACTGCTCAGGTTGGAGGGAGGCTCCGCACAACATTGGATTGAGGGATTGGGAATATATGAGGACTGCTTGATTCAGTCACAGGTACTGGAAGGCTTTCCGATGGTGGGTGCATGGTGTCGGATTCATTTCCTGGTCCAGCGTCTTGCTTTGGAAAAGGAGCGAATTCTGTGCTACTGTATCTGGGGGATGGAGTTGAAACCTGGATTCCTTTAAGATTGACTTCGCTTTCTTTGCGCTTCGCTGTAGCAGTTTGGCATGGGTTTTCAATATTCCACAGTGGCTTGAAGTTGTTGAAAGATACTTAAGGGGTGAGTCAGGCCACCATTTGGCGCAGAGGTTGGCGACCAGGTCTCTCTCTTACGATGCTGCAACAGCATACATACAAGCAAGTGGGGGAGTATTCCCGCCCGCGAGTGCAGAGGATGCTGAAGCTGATTCGACGATAGACGAACCACCCCTCTTGGTTTTCAGAGGGTTGGTTTGGGGGTTGTTGCTGAGGAGTTGTTTGATGCTTCGGATAGCGAGGAGTCTTCAGGGGAATTGTCAACAGCTTCAGGTAGTTCGTCTAGCGAAATTAAATTGTGAGCGACGAGGAGAACCTCAGCAAGTGGGAGGATTGAGTTCTGGTTTAGGGTCAAAGGTTCAAGGGGAGTTGCTGGTAGCTCAGCATGGGGATGATCTCATGGCAGTACCTCTTCAGGGTGTAGTAAAAACCATGTTGAGTCGCCTGGCCCAGAAAGCTGGGAAAGATCCATGTCCTCAGGCAGTGAGAGCGGTGAGCCCAGCAGTGATTCCTCTCTCCCTGCATAAGGAACGGACGGGTGGTATGTAAACTGGACGGCTCTAGCAATATGAATCATTGTCTGGTGGTTTATGCTGGCTTGCATGAGGGCGGCCGTGGCTTCAGTTGTAGGCTTGTATGAGCTTCCCGATGAGGTGTGTTCAGAAGGAAGGTGTATTGCTGTTGCGGCCAAGGCATCCTCTCTGGATGTAGAGCAGCCATGGAAAGAGTCAGATGGGCGTGATGGGTCAAGCCTATGGGAGCTGTCGAAAATTTTGCTCATTATTGGAACCTGGGAAATCCTACAGCGGCTTGTCCGTTCGTGCCTGCGAGTCAAGGCATCAGTAGAACAGTGGAATCGAACTGAGGCGGGTAATGTTGCGGCTTTGCCGTTGGGTCCTAAGATACCCCCACAAGGGGCGCATCTTGTTCTGCCTGTGGAAGTCAGGTTTCCCTGTAGATGCTTCAGCATACGAGGAGGATAATGATGCCGAGTTCCACTGACCTTTGGAGGCTTGAAGAGGGGTTGGTATCGGACTCGGTCTAGGTATCCTCCGACGTGTCGTAGGAAGGTGAAAGCCTTTTTCCTGGGTTAGCTTACGCATCCGGAGCCTGAACAAATCAGCCTCGAACAGATGAGGGCATAGAAGAGGATGACAAAGGGACCAGCCGGACTGGAGATTTGGGCCTCTATAAACTAGACGCTAAGTTCGCTCTAATGAATAGTGGTTTCCGATTTTCGAACTCCTAGCCTAGCCCGGATAATCTGTGTAGGGATCCTGCTAGTCCGATAACGCTTCCCTCCGAAGGAGGGGGCCCGTTTTACAGAGAAGGGGCGTTCGGAATAGGGCGATTACGTTGTTTTTGTCCCACGGCCGTCAGGTGAGAGTAGGCAGAAGCAGGTGGGGCGATGTCTCGGGGTCATGTGATCTATTTTCCTCTATCTGCATTAATACTTTCGCCCTACCTGTGAAAGGTTGGGCGAGGGGGAGTGCGTGAGCATCGCCTCCGTGCACAGGAGATGCTCCTTCTCTCTGGAAGCTGTTTTGATTCGAAGAGAAAGGCCCGGTGTGGGCTCATCTTTGCAGTGCTTGAGATTAAGATTTCTTAGGGTGTTCATCTGTTTGGTTGCTGATCCTAGGGTTTATAACATGCCTTTAGCACAGGGCCCCGGAGAGCCAGCAGGATCAGCCGGCTCCGCCCGGAGCAAAGGAATCGGTTCACTGCGCGGCATGTGGATAGATACCCTTTGGTCACGCTTCGGCGGCAGGATTTGCCGGCTGAGCCACAACTCCGCCGGCTGAGCAGCAGGGCGGGCACGATGGGCCGGAGGTGTGACCCATGGCACACCACGACAGAAATGGCAGATGCCCACTTTGCGATCACAGGAGGCGCAAAGAGGGGTCGATTGCCCCCAAAACAGGCCCCGCGACCGGGGAGACCGTCGCAAAAGCAGCCCGTGTAAAGACCGCAGTCTACACAGGGCCGACATAGATCATCGCTGCCACACCATCCCTTCAACAGATTCATAGCCCGGGTGGGCTGGGCGGGATCGAAATCCGCGCCGATCGGCTGATCGCCAAAATGGCCACGGATCAAAACATCATTCCGATCGCGAAAATTGATAACCTAATTCCTAACCTACCAGACCGATGATTAGGCAACCAGTTTACACGAAATACACCACTCGACACTCGCTGAACAACCAACGATCGCACCAGACCTTTCTGTGCGACCGCAACGTGGGAGTCGGCCACAAATAAAAAATCGAACATCTCAGATCTTCATGATTTCGGAAGGATGCTCCCATCACCGGAGGGGCGCACCACATAGCTGGCGATCGCTCCGCATTCATCCGAACGAAAGCATCAGACAAGATATTCCCAGGCCCTCAAACTCTTTTGGGAGTATCAGAGACGACCGTGACCCAACCGCAAGTAAGACCTGTAGCAACATCACCACGAGAGGGGTTGCGAAGTCGCTACGCTTCTCCGCGCTGGCCACATGTCTGTTTTGCTCGCTTGAGCCAGTGCCGGTGCATGGTCAAGTGTCTGTGCAACAGATGGTGCCTTCAGGGACTTCCCGGTCTGCACATGTCTGAAGCTCTGCTTTCACAGGGTTTGTCCATTCATTCATTCATTCATTCATTCATTCATTCATTCAGTCATTCAGTCATTCAGTCATTCAGTCATTCAGTCATTCACTCAGTCACTCAGTCATTCATTTCATTCATTCATTCAGCGCAGCGGGTCAGCCGTCAAGCAGGCGAGCGTGAACTAGCCACCCCTACAGAGAGGGTTCGCCAGTGCGAAGCTGTGATGCCCCGCCGCCTGAGCGATCAGCGAAGCATATCACAACAAAGAGTACAAAACCGACTATTGCCTCGGCGTTCTCGATCTTAATAACCAAGACAACAAGCATGCAGTATGCACAGCAAGAAAATCAGTTAAAACAGCAGTATGCTACACTACCCACCACTGGCACTACAAAGGGCGACCCTGCCGACGAGATCGTCGCGGCCCCATCCACTTCCCCAGTCACCAGAGGTGGCCGGAGGAGCTGTCGGGTTCTCTGGGGCCTGAGCTTGCCGTGGGTCCCCATTGACCAACAGTCTGTGCCGGAGGCAGCCTTTTGGGCAGCCCGACCTGGGGGACGACTGAGCATCCGAGCCGCGTTAGGGACCTGTAGGAGACAACGACATTGCTGGATGAGGATGTATCCTGTTCCCACGCCGACAATCGAAAATCCGGGCCGATCGGCTGATCGCCAAAATGGCCACGGATCAAAACATCACGTCTGGCTGTTCTTCCGATCGCGAAAACTGATAACCTAATTCCTAACCTACCAGCTTGGAGCAGCCTTCGCACTGCCCCGCAAGCGTCCAGCGCCCTCGATGAACTCCGAAAGCCTGGGAGGGCCAGGCTCGGTTCGAAACTCCCATCCAGCTCAAAGAAAGTGTGCATGAGACACCCGAGACCTTCCCGCTGAAAAGCCGAGACAAGAGAATCTTTCTGCTCTCAGTGTTGACACCCGCTGCTTCAGCCTTTCGGAACCATTGCTTCAAGACCGGGTCCTGCCGACTTAACCGACTCATCTGAACTGCCTGACATCGACAGTCGAGCTTTCGGGAGCTGTCTCCAATTGGCCCAAGCCACGTGATCTGGCCATCGCCTGGGAGGAGGGTTTTGGAGGATTACGGAAAACTCCGGCAAGTGGAGAGGACGAGAGTCCAAAACCCACAAACCCTAAACCCCTAAACCCCTAATCTAAACCCTAAACGCCCTAAACCCTAAGTCCTAAACCCCGAAACCCTAAGCCCTAAACCCCTAGACCCTAAACCCTAAACCCCCTAAGTCCTAAAGCCCGAAACCCTAAGCCCTAAACCCCTAAACCCTAAAGCCCTAAACCCCCTAAACCCTAAAACCCTAAACCCTGAACGCCTAAACCCTAAACCCCCTAAGTCCTAAACCCTAAACCCCCTAAGTCCTAAACCCCGAAACCCTAAACCCCTAAACCCCTCCACATGGCTGGCGACAAGGCGCCGTTGTCGAGGAACTCGAAGAGGCTCAATAAGTCGTGGTACTCCAACCTCTGCTCTTCTGCTTCAAGTGAGGGTCCCGGTATTATTATTGTTGTGGTTGCCACTATCATTATCATTATCACCATCACCATCATTATCAGTAGTAGTAGTAGTAGTAGTAGCAGCAGCAGCAGCAGCAGTAGCAGCAGCAGCAGCAGCAGCAGGAGGAGGAGGAGTAGTAGTAGTAGTAGTAACAGTATTATCATTAGTATCATTATCATTAATGTTATTGTTAGTATCATTATTATTAATAGTACTATTACTATTGTTATATTATCATTCGTACTATTTGTATTATTATTTTTATTATTGTCATTATGATTATTGATTATTGTTATTATTATTATTATCATCATCATTGTTTCTTTTACGTAGTCTAGGGACCGGAACCTTTCCCTGCGGTCCCAGCAACTCCAATTGGCTCATCCAGAAGCTCAGCTTGGGTGACTGCACCAGCTTCTCGAACTCCTGATTCGGCCAGGGAGCTACAAAGTATGAGGCTTGGGAGGACAGCGGAGGGAGGCCAGAAAACACCCCATGCGTTCGATCCGGACTTCGCCGAGAAGGGCGAAAAATAAACATTTCAGATGGCAATGCCAGGGGGGCCAAACAAAAAGCAGCTCGGCCCGATCTCCTAGGACCTACCGAGGGACCATTGCAAAGCTTCCATCCTTGTCGAAACGAAAACCCTGTTCACGAGGATGGCCGGGCTGTCAGCATCTAGTCCGGCTGTCAGCATCTAGTCCTGCAGCATAACTTCCTGCGGTGAGTATATGATCAGGGCTCCCTAGCTGAAAGAGTACCAGGAATGCCAAATGCAGAGGTCGGGCAAAGCAGCATGGCAAAGCGGCAGGACACCAGCAGCATCTAGCATCTCCAAAGCTTTGAATGCTACCCGACCTCTTCAAGGCGCATTTTCTTTCACACAGAATCTGAGGCATGTGTGGCCTCCAAGTTGATCGCACCGTCTCCAGAAGAGTCGATGGTTTGGAAGAGTTTCCGCACCTCGGTCTCAGAAGAGCTTGGGTTCGAGCTCTGCGGGGACCAAAATAAAGCAATTAGCTGCTGGGCCCCAGTGGGAGATGACTCAAGAGCTACTCAGCGACTCTCACAGTCTCACAGTCACAGGCCGCCCTGGCTCCATCTGGCTCCCCTCCAAGCGGCTTTCCGGTTGTACTGCGCGATGTCCTTCTCCTCCCAGGACTAACTCAGCTCTTGGCCTTTGCAGCCGAGTGGGCCTCCTATTATTAGAGCCGGTAGCAGGTAGCCATGACTGCAGACAAGCTTCTCTGCAGGACATGCGCCGATGATATATCTTCTTAAAGTGTCTGGAGCCGAAACAACGAATCTCCAGCAGGCTCCAATGCTTACCCCGGCTGACCCACGGAACATCTCACCTTCTGCTTGAAAGCCAGCTCTTCGTCGGAAGTTGCAGTTTTCATCGTCTGCCTGCAATCCATGTGTGTTTCTGCATGATCACTAAGTTGTTTGTTAATCTCTTTCACCGGAAGATCTCGGCTCTGCACTTTTGATTCCAGGGGCAAAGGTCTGGAACCCGAGTCCCAAAAGGATTAAATCTCTTTCAAACTTCAAACTGACCGAGGAATCAGATCAAGTTACACTAGCACCTCTAGCCACCAGCCTCCAGTCTTACTTCAGCAAACCCATTCCGCATCGTCCGCATGGTACATGCGAAACCCTGGCAGAAGCCGCGCTGAAAGGCGGCCAAGGTGCTGGACAAACACTGAGTTTACCTCAGCGTCGCAGAGACCGAAAGCAGCAGAGTTTGTTTCGGCAGCTCCAGGCTGTTGTGGGGGCCTCGAGGGCTGCGGGACTGCTGCGGGCTTGCATCGGAGCTGCCACGTTGAGCACCGCGAAGCCGAAGACGCAGCCTCGGCGGAGCGGAGTATAGAGCGTAGCAGTCGGAGCAGAAGAGCAGTGGATTCGAAGTGGCCAAATGAGGGCTCGGCGGTAGAGCAAAAAGAAGAGCGCGAACCACTCGGAGATGTTGTCGACGAGCACGCGACAGGCCGGCCCCCAATTCGCAAACCTCGGGAAGCAAACAAACCCCATGCGGGTTCCGATATCCCGAGGCGCGTGTTGGGGAGAAAATGTAAAAAAGGGCAGAGGGCTTAGAAGAAAGGGTTTGGGCTTCGTCGGATGACGCATTCGGCGTCACTCAAACCCATGAGGAAGCTGCGCAGACGGTTTGGGGGCTCCTGCACCAGTCTCGATCCAAAAAACGACAATGGACAAGATGATCCAGAGCCTTCCTGTAGATTGGTTCTCTGAGTTTGAACCCGGGGTATCTCTAGATGCACACGTTGTCACGGCCCGCAAAATGCCCCTCCAGACCCACCGAAACCTCGAAGGTTCTCTGGCCGAGACTTCGAGATCCTTGGAAGATGAGGGTCAACGTGTCAAGCCTTTCTGAAAAAAGCCACACTTCTGGGCGCAGCAGCATGATCTCGAACATGGTGAGGAAAGTTCGGGAGAAGGTCCCGTAGTATCAGAAGACCTCAGGGCTGCCCGAATGTGTTGCAGGAAGTCTCGTGAACTTGAGCTACAGCGTGGCGCAACGTAGAATCCGATTGAACGAACACACCCAACAAGCATCCAGCATCCACCCACCATCCACCTCCTCCTTCATGAGCACGTCGTTCCCGTCGTCTAGCAAGTACGGGGCAGCCAGCATGCTCACCACAACTCCAGCCAAGAGTTGTAGAAGAGACAAAAGGCAGAAGGACCAAAACCTCGATGCTTCGGTGTCGCATTGAGCAAAAAGCTGAAGAAAGAAAGCTCTGACTCTGGCTCGGTGCAGCCTTGGAGCAACATCCCTCGACTCGCTTCCAAGCATTTCACCAGCAGTTGGAGGGGAGCATGGCCCACTGCGACACTGAACCTCGGAGCGAGCAATTCCTGCCAGCTCTTTTTCTTTCGCCAGGGCTGGCACGGCTCTCTCCCTCTGTCTCTCCCCTCCCTCTCTCCGGGCCATGAGGAGCTGGTCAGATTTTCTCGGGCCTCAGGCCCATGGAGGTCAAAGAGCGTTTCAGAAGGGAGACTAAGGCCATATAGTAGACGCTAACTCGATAAGGACCACCTTCCACACAGCTAAAGGAAGAGCGGACAGCCCCTCCCTGCGCGAGCGGGCGCGCCCTGGTCTCCACAGTCTCTGTGCAAAGGCTACAAAGGATGAGGCCCACCTCAGCACAACTGTGGATATCCCCTGTACGAACCCATCCCCTGGCCTCGTCCTAAGGCTGATGCTTGTTCTGTGCCCCAGCACGCAATTTGTCGCGGGCTTGCAACCAAAAAAGCACTGGGCGACCAGTGGATAACGACTACCTTCTCTCGCTCTCTGTCTCTCTCTCTCTCTTTGTCTCTCTTCCTCTCTCATCCGGAAATTCAAACAGGGGAAAAGGCAAGCTGGCTGCATCTGACCCAGGCACATGCGCAGCGCTTTCGTCAGCTTGACGACGCGCAGCAACCGGAAAAAGTCGAAGTTGACGCCGGAACTGCCGGCCGACAGGAGCCAAAATACTTCCACGACGCAAAATCCGGCCACCACGAAATCCAGGCAGTTCATCCAGGTCCGCCTTGGACTGCCCAAATCACGCTTCACCCTTACGGTGCCCGGACGCATTTGCTCAGGTGCCTCTTCAGCGACGTGTACCGTCACTAGGTTGACTCAACAAGTCTTACCTTCTGGGAGCCCGCTACGGGTTCCTTCAAAGCAGACCCTGGGGAAAAAACGGGGCCCCTGCTTGGGCTAAGAGTCAGGCTTGTCAGCTTGTTGCTGCCGCACGGAAACCAAAACAGGCTCGCACCGTGAGCTGGTGACTTAGTGGCCTTGAAATCCTGTGCCGCTTCCCTGGCCAGGGCCACGGGAAGGCACCATGGTCGTCGTGACATGAACCCACGCCTGCAGAACTACAAAGGCAGCTCTCCTTCTCAAAACCTTGAAGGCCACAAGTGTCGGTCGAAGAAGTTTTGTGCCGGCAGGCCAAAACCGTCGGCCCAGCCCCAGGATCCTCAAGCAAGCGTCTCCAATGTAGAGGCCGGCCTCAGCCCACACTGGCGCTGACGTTGACAAGTCCAAGCTCGGGGTACGGCATCCGGCTGCTAGACACTGCTACAAGGGGTAGACTTATGTCACGGCAGCGTTCAAGAAGTCGCGGGATCGCATGGTAACGCTGCATAAAGTGAAGTCGCGGCAAAAGCCCAGAAGTCATTGCACAGAAGATGTGTAGCTAGGGAATCCCCCAGCACACGTTGTGTTCGGGCGAAGCTTCAAAGCAACAGAAATCAGGCCCACGCGCTGGCAAACTGCAACCTTTCGTAGACCATAACACGCGGGAACATTGGAATCCCCATTGACCCTTCAGAAGCAGGAGCACGGAGGGTTTCAAGAAGGATAACACACAAAAATTTACTTGTTTAATTAGGTAGCTGGAGGGCCAAAACCTGGGTTTTATAAGGGGTCTAGACCAGGCCCACGCGAGGCAGCGGTCAGGAACTTCACATCTAAGAGCTTTAGCCTAGCTCGCAAATCCCGACATGTTCAATGTGCATGTGGCGCGAGAAGGGTAGACGGCTGGCTCACGAGCATTGCCTCGGAATCCCATGTGCTTGCCGGTTCGAGACGACTTCCAGCTAATTGCGGAATAAGCGTTTGCGCGGTATCCCCATGTACACGCCCTATGCCAGGCCGGGCCCGGATTGCTTAACCCCAATATTGCCAATGTCAACTCAGAAAGATGTGCATTTCCTCCTCGTAGTCGTAGTCGTAGCAGCCGCTCTGGCCGCAGTACCGGTTCCCCCATGTCCATGCTCAGACGCTACGACTTCCGCAAGACGCTACGACTTAGGTCAACCCCTTGTAGACGTGTCTTGATGCTAGACCCTTCTAGCACGCGACGGTACAGTGATGGAGCCAAGCCTGCCCTCGCGGATGCGGGCCGCATTACACTATAAATGCCAAGCCCAAAGATTGAGCTGTGTCACGAAGATGGCGTCGACGAGGTAGAAGATCTCCCTGACACATACCGGAGATTTGTTTTTGGAACTACACATCCAGACAAGCGTCTCTGGTATCTTTGTGTGCCTACAAAGGTGTCCCGGTCATCTGCAGCTGCCCACCCACGATGGATAAGAATATGAACAAAAATCCAACCTCACCCGCGAACTCTAGACCTGTGGATGCGATCATGGCTTCCCACCTCCTCCAGGCAGGTACCAACACTCAGAGGCAGTCCCACTGCTGGTGCTTCGAGAGTTAGAGACCTCCCCTACATGCCACGTCCTGCCTCCAGATCTCCATGCCCACTCCGAAAGAAGTGTCAGTAAGGTTGATCCTTGTCCGATGACATCTCGTTACGCGCTTACGTGTACGTTTATGCTCGGAGGGGGCTGGCGGGGGACCTGACACTGGCTTGGCGCGAAGCGTGACTACACGGAAATCATGGCAACAAAGGGGCTGTTCGCCCTGCACCTGCACCGTCCAGGCCATCCACAGCCTGAGTAGCCAGTTTTGCGGCAGATCGAGGAGCAAACCCTGCGTTGTGTTCGATGCTTCGGCACGTTTCTTGCACTTGCTGCCGTAAGCAGGGAAGGGAAAGATATGCCTTTCAAGGGCAAAGGGCACTGCTCCGAACATCGCTTAACGACATCATCATAGCGGAAGTCACGCTAGCAAATATGATAGTGCTCATTGTTGTTGTAAGGACGGCCACGCAGGCACGTACAAGTCGAGGTACGGTCATCAATGATGGCTCAAGCTCGAGCACCTACGAAGGGGCAACGAAGTGCCCGCCGGAATGACCGGATTGCTCACAGAGTCGATGCGCCTTAAGTCTCTCGTAGAACTTCGGCTGGGTGTGACCATGCCATACGATCCTCTTGATGATGTGCCATCTTCTGTGCTAAACAACTTGAGCTCTCGAACTCCTTCGATACACGGTTCAACCCCCAACTCCGCTTATAACCAACACTCATAACTATTGCTGCGATATAACACTGAGCGCAATACGCGTCATGGTAGCACAAGAAACACAGCCTTCCTGTCCAGGGCGCATGTTCGCAACGAGGACTGCGGCCATGACACCCTGACACAAGCAAAGAGATGTTCGGCTCCGAGCTTTGTTGCCTTCGGCTCAGAGGTTTGCTTCTCAGGGAGTTGGAAGACTGTCTCGAAAAGCCTTGACTGGAACAGGGCACGAACTGCTCAAATGCCAGCCTCGTACGAAGCCGAAACGAGGAAATCTTGGCAGCGTTCCTGGGTGCCAGTCAAGATCCGATATCAACAGGTTCATAGGTTAGCAAACGAGGATGGTAAAATGTTTCCAAGCATCGCTGCGCGTTGGAGGATCCGACCTCAATGCGCCAAGGCTTACATCTGTCAGCCACAATCATTCCGCGAAGTAACCTGGTTCCAACTTCTCTGCATTTCTGCACGTCGAAAACTGGGAAATGCCAAGAAATGCCTTTGAATCGGTTTCGGGTAGTGCAGCCTTAGCTTTGTCCATCAATACTTTATGTGCCATATGTGCTGCTTCAATTTCCGCATAGGCTGCATGGTGGGCGGAAATCGCAAGCCACTTATTGCTGCACCTAGGCACAGGCTATAACTGCGCATGCTGCAAGCAGGTTATGTGCCTGATGAGGGGCCACTTTAACTCATGCACTCCCAGCAGGGTTGAAACACCGTGTCCCAAACCGATGCGTAGTTCGCCACTGAGCAGACTAGCGTCTCGCTGGTCGAGAGCCGCGTCTGGTTCTGAATGTCTCGCATCTCCAGGTGTTCCTTCCAAGCTCCAACACGCTTGAGTCGGGCATGTTTGGCGAGCTCACAGCACTGCGGCCTCAGCTCACACCAATTCTTTTTCCGATCTCCATATTGAACCCAAACCCAAAGTTCGTCTAAACTTGACCCATAATCACAATCTCAGCGAATTTTCCAATCTCCTGTTCATCCCATGCTTCGAGGATGGTGTTGGCATCCACGAGAGCCTGAGTCGTACGGCTGAGGCCGAGGGGCGCGGGAATTTCTCAGCGCACACTTACTGCCAACGTGATGAAGGGCTGCCAAACACTTGAAGAAGCCCGCAACATCCCAGACCTCCCGCTGCTCCTCGTACTCCCATTGTCGAGTACTCCTACTGCTCGAAGATCTCTACGATGCTAAAATTGCAGAACATGGACAGTCGGCCAGGCGACGGACTGTGAGGAAAGTCGCTTGTTTCGCCACTGGCCCGGGTAGCTGGTGTTCGACGTCGGCGTCCTTAGACAGATGGGCAAGAACGGAGGGTACAAAAACAGGTCGCTTAGGCATCCGCTTGCACACGAGGCCCTGAAAACAGAATCGACTGTTGCTGAGTGAGAGGCATCATTCGCTCCATACCAGCCACCTTCAAGAGAGCTCCAAATGACCAATTGAGACGGGGTCTTCGTGGTGAGCCTGTAAGTTGCTAAAGGGTCGAAACAGCTCTTCCATGAATAGGAGCTGTATTGACCCTGTTGCTTTGAACAAGGCTCCAGGGGATATCTGCCCCAGGCTAAAGGCAGTGATGGGCCTTAGCCCTTCAGGTTTCCCCTCAGGTTCCGGAGGCTCTGGCAAAAGCAGACATAGCTTCAAAAAACTTCAAAAATGTCTACGCTCCCCTTCCCTGCGCCCGGCCAGAGTGGGCGACAACACCGGCGACTCATCCTTCCTCGCCAAAGCCGCTCGAAGCGCTTCCAGCTCCGTTGCCTCATGTCAACACTCCAAAATCTACGAACGTTGAGGTGTTGTGAGGGTCGTTAAGTGGACTCCGTCCACTATGTCTTCGGTGCATCCCATCCGGCAAAATCTGCAGAGGTACATGCTGGTTCACCAGCTGGTCAATCAACGCCTGGAAGGCCTGAGGCACACTTGAACTTCGCACACGGACGACACGTTTGCAGAAGCTCACTTGAACAGTCTGCTACTGGAGCAGTCAAGACTCTGAGCTTGGAGTAGCCCGCAACAGCCTTCCCTGGCACCCTCAGCCCTAAGCGATACAAGGCAAAACAACGGCAAACACATCTCGTCTGCTTGGCCCCTCCATGCGGAATCTACGGCCCCTGGCAGGAGGCCTGGGATGGAACCATCGGTCGTGCCTTGACTCGGGGCATCTAAGCTCTGCTTCTGCTGTCTATTCAAAACCTCCTGTATAAACATTGCAGCCATTTTGCGACATTCTTCCAGCTTGCCCCGAGGTTCCAACTGAAAACTTATGTCAGGCTTTACCCAGAGAGAGAAAATACGGCATGGTTCCTGAACTAAGGACATTCCGGACATTCCCAAACTTCGAGCGTCGGAATCGCCTGGCGTAGCTTCGGCGGCAAGTCACGGCATTTGAACCAGCAAAGCGCAAGAACCAATATTAACATGATGCCGTTAAATCATCGCTCAAAGCTCCCAGCTGAGGTCGCTGCCGGACTTCGCGGCGAGCGGCTGTCCACCGATGTGTCGCTCGCAGATTTGGGTCGAGTCCTCACCTTCGCTGCAGCTGCATACAGTATGAAGGTGCAGCACGAAATCGATCCCCTCATGCACTGCGCAGCATAGACCCTAGACCCCCTTCAACTTCACTTTCATCTAATACGTCTGCCCCATTGACCCACAAAGGCCTGCGGGCTCGCGGGCAACGCCAAGCGACCGTCCTTCGCAAGTGATACGTCCCTCTGTCTGCGCCTTCTAAGCAGAAGTGAAGTTTATGTGAATGAGATTGCCATCTCTCCACCAGCCACAGCCCACGAAGCAAAACGATCGACAGGAACCCGGTCAAGGACAAGAACTTCTGCCAGATCCATGGCATCAATGCCCTCCCCGACCTTCAGCGACCACTGAGGCGGCACATCTTCCGCCTCCGGCCCTGTCCAGGTCTTGTGGCTGCAGGGAAGGAAATCACAGTAAGCTGCTGCAGGGTGTCTGTTGAGGTAGCAGTCCAATGCGCAACGAAACATTCACGACATTCCGGACATCATGCATCGGTCGTCCCAGAAATGAAAACTCTACGATGTGACCCGGCAAACAGTCCACAGAGAAACGGCGTTGCTGTCCGCCGTCGTTCTAGATTGGCCCTGTTCCGACAACACGCAGCAACACGACCTAGGCTTAACCCTCCAGAGCCCGAGCCCCTCTACGCATAGGTTAGTGCGCGACAGTGCGAGCCCTGGCGATCTCTCGAGGCCTGGTATGCGTGGTTTCGCATGCTGCACAGCCTGAAGGAAGCCTGCGGATGCTACTATCCCTTGGGTTCTGTGGAAGGGAGTTGGCAGGGTCGCCAGGTGTGCTGTGATTGTGACTTCGTGATCATTGTCACTGCTACAGTCATCATCGCTGGTATGGTTGTCCCTTGGATGACCATCGCTACAACTATCGGTATCAGCAATAGCAGCAGTACTACTGTAGTCGTCGTCGTGATCGTTGTCGTGGTCGTGGTCGTGGTCGTGGTCGTGGTCGTGGTCGTGGTCGTGGTGGTGGTCGTGGTGGTGGTCGTGGTCGTGGTCGTGGTGGTGGTGG